GCCATTCACCTGTGGCTCACCAGCCTCAGGCAGGGGCCCCGCCAAAGCCCTGACTATGAGCTTGGCCACAGCGGAGAGGCTGGGCTTGCCATGGTCACTGACTTTTACCACCAGTTCAGCCACAGGGCTGAGCTCTTCCCAGTAGGGGTGCAAGGTGCGTATCTCACCACTGGTGGGGTCCATCTCAAAGAGGTGCTCCTCATTGCCTTCCACAATCTCATACGTGAGGCGCCCACTCTCCCCAAAGTCACTGTCCAGGGCGCGGACGGTGCCCACGGGGTAGCCCACCCCAGCATTGCGTGGCACCTGCAGCTCAGCAGTGTCGTTGATGAGGGCAGGCAGGACGATGAGGGGTGCATTATCGTTGACATCGAGCACGGTGACGCGCACTGTGGCATTGCTTTCACGGTGGGGTGAACCCGAATCTTTGGCCAGCACGCGGAACTCAAAGTGCTTTGTCTGCTCATAATTGAAGCTCCTCAGAGCATAAATAGCACCATTTGTGGGGTTGACAGAGACATAGGTGTAGATGGAGACATCTCCCACATGCCCAGGCAGAATGGAGTAAGACACTGTCCCATTTTGGCCCAAGTCAGGATCCTGGGCCAAGACTGAACCCAGGTACTCTCCAGGGATGTTGTTCTCAGGCACCTGCAACACATAAAGATTCTTGCTGAAGCGGGGTGGGTTGTCGTTCTCGTCAAGGATCCGGACAGAAAATGACTTGGTGGAGTTAAGCGGGGGATTGCCCCCATCACGTGCCACGATGGTCACATTGTACTCGTCCTGTGTCTCACGGTCCAGGGGTCGGTCGGTGACCACAGTGTAGAAGTTGTCATAGTTCTCCTCCAGGGTGAAAGGAACGGCACCAGGCCCGCCACCACCGCCCAGCACCCGACACTGGAGCTGCCCGTTCTTGCCTGAGTCACGGTCAGTGACCCGCACCAGGGCAATCACAGTTCCTGGTGGGGCAGCCTCACTCAGAGCTCCCTGGCGAACGGAGACAAAACCAATGGTGGGAGCATTGTCATTGCGGTCGATGAGGCGGACAGTGACCTTGCAGTGAGCAGGGATGGGATTTGGCCCCAAGTCCCGAGCTTGGACATCAATCTCAATGAGGCCACTCTCCTCATAGTCCAGATTGCCCTTGACACGGATGAGGCCACTCTGTGGGTCAATGCTAAACAGGTCACGGACGCGCTCAGGTGCGTAGCCACTGAAGGAGTAGAGCACCTCTCCATTGGTGCCCTCATCAGCATCAGTGGCATTGAGGTCGATGACTGCCGTGCCTAGCGGTGCATTCTCTGGCAGCTCTACCACGTAGGAGGCTGCCTCAAAGATGGGGCTGTTGTCATTGGAGTCAATGAGGCGCACATTGATCTGCACCGTGCCTGAGCGCGGTGGGTCACCACCGTCCAGTGCCGTCAGCACCAGGGTGTGGTGACTCTGCTCCTCACGGTCTAATGGCTTCTGGATGACCAGCTCCGGAAACTTCGTGCCATCACCACGGGACTTCACATCGAGGGAGAAGAGGCCGTAGTCATCACGAGTGAGCAGGTAGGTGCGCAGACCATTGTCCCCAGCGTCTGGGTCATGGGCGCTGGTGAGAGGGAAGCGGGTGCCTGGTGCAGCATTTTCAGAGATGTCCATGTCCACTTGGTCAGAGGGGAATGATGGTGCGTTGTCGTTCAGGTCCTGAATCTCCACTTTGATCATGCAGATCTCCTGGTCATTGGCGAACACCTCGAGGGACAGCTGGCACTTGGCGCTGCGCCGGCACAGCGCCTCACGGTCAATGCGCTGCTTGGTGTAGAGCAGCCCGCTCTCCCCGTCCACGTCCAGGAGGTGCGGGGCTGAATTCTCCAGCACCCGGAAGGTGGACTTGGGGCCGCGGCCGCCCCCGGGGCCGCCACCGGGAATGCCACGCTCCGCGGGCAGCATCCCGCCTCCCGCCGCGCCTGCCGCCAGCCGCGCATCGCGCCCGATGTTCCCGATGACCGTGCCCGCTCCCTGCTCCTCCGGCACCGAGTAATTCAGGTTCTTCAGCGACAGGGCGGGAGCCCAGCAGAACAAGAAGCAACAAATGGAAAGGTACATCCCCGAGCAGGGGTGGGGGCGGCAGGAGCGGCAGCGACGACCAGGGTTGTCCCCGTCTTCTTTGCCTCCTGCGCTGGGGCTGTTCTTCCTCCTCTGACGGCTCTTTCTTTCCTTCCTTTTTGGTTTTGATTTTTTTTCCCTTCTCTTTCCCCACCCCTATATTTCAAGTTCCTGAACCTGTTGCTCTAAAACATCTGCAGAGACACAGGATGAGAGGCAGCAAATAGACCATGTAGCTCAGAGGGAGGGAGCAATCGGGGGGGTCGGGGGGAGGGGAGGGAGCAGCTTCGGCAGCTTTTCAGCAAGAGCTTGCCGGGCTTGCAGTCCCCTCACAGTTACTTCGTCCGTCCAACTTCGGCAGTGGGAGGGTTTCAAAAATCAGAAAATTTGCAAAAGATCTTCTCCTTCGGGCAGGCGAGGTGTTCCCGATCCTTGAATCCCCGCAGATGTACAAAGAATAATAAAAAAAATAACAATAATAAAAAAACCGGCGGCAGTGGTTGTTGTTCTAAAAACGATCAGAAATATTTTTAAATATGTATATTTATATATACATAGAAGAAGGGGATGGTCACAGGTCTGTAGCAGAGGTAAAAAAGCTTATTTGCTACTCACTGCTTGTGATGCGATTGATGGAGTGGAGGGGTAGGAGAGAGACAGAAGGGAAAAAAAAAGTCTCAGCTTGTTGTTGAAGCCCTCTTCGTGTGCAGTGAGCGGCAGTGAAATGTCTGATTGCACCGCGGGGTTGTTGGTTTTCAGGGAGTGTTTTGCTGCATTTAGAGATCTAATCTTGCATTGCTTGCGGCGGAGAGCTGCATCTCGCTGCTGTCGGTATTTCCCCCCTCTCTGTCTCGTACACCCTGGGTCACTGTTTCCTTCCCGAACCAGAGGGAGAGGGAATAAGGATTGCAGGGCGAGAGGGGAAAACAAAACACATTAAAAAAAAAAAAAAAAAAAAAAAGCCCAAAACCCAAACCACTCCGCCCCCGCCCGCAAAAACTAGTGTTCGAATTTATAGCTTCCTTTCTCCCCCTCTACTACCAGCCTCCCACCCGTCCTTTTGGGGTGAAAAAATTAAGAAACCCACCAGTTGACCTTCATCACTAGCAGTAAATATATATTTTGAGAGAAAGCTCAGACCGTGCTCAATCAGCAGCACACTTGGGTTTCTTTAAGACAGGCCAGTAGCCGCCGCCACCACCACATCCTTTCTCTCCGTGTATCTATGCGTGTGTGCGTATGCGTGTCTGAGGAGCTGCACTTTTCTCGATGCAGTTTAATTCCAGTTTGCTTTTCTCTCCAGCCGAGAGGAAAGCAACAGGCAACCCATAGCTGGACGCATAGATTAAAAAAAAAAAAAAAAAAAAAAAGATAGAGAGGAGGTGGGAGGGCGGGGGGAGAAAGAAAAGCCACCACACACACACACACACTCTCTCTCTCTTTCTTAGTCTCTCGCTAAAAGGGAAACAGTCTCTGTATTCACAGGGCTGCGCTATCAAGTGCCTCTCTTTTCTTTCTATTCAGCGTCTCCTTCCAATGACACTGCCGCCTAGCCCTCTTCATTTAGGGGAGGTGAGAGGAGGAGGAAAAACAATCCTTGCGATGAATAAAGTGGGAGATCTTTTAATCGATTAATTCGCTTATATTAAAAGCTATGCAGTTCCGCGATCAGTGTGATGCATTTTTTGCAGTCCTTTCAAAGCTTTAACAGTATCTCTGAGCATCTTGGTACAGGGGAGAAGAGCGGCAGCAATGCCAGATGCGTTCCCCCTCTCTGATACACACCTTGCCTAGTGATACGGTGTATAGGTAAATACTGGGGAAGGGTAGCAAAATATTATTTCAGGTTCTTTTAACAACCTGAAATAAAAGAATGGCAAATCCAGAAATGCAGGTGTTTCAATCTGCTTGGATGAGTCAGATCCAGCGGAACAAATCACATTCACTATCGCCTCATGTTCCTCCCTTCACAGACATTAGTTGCAGCTTCTTCCTAAAGCTTCTCTGACTCACTCTATAGACAGGAAAGAAATTAATCAGATTTATATTTTGGAGAGGGAGGAGGGAAGAAAGAAGAAAAAAAAAAAAAAAAAAAAAAAGAGAAGGTGGGGGTGTCGGATCCAGCTACACTTTTACTATACCTCTTTCTCCGGGAGACTGAGGATCAGGAAAACAAGGCTGTTATCCACTCACTGGCACAGAGGCGCGTCTGTCTCCTGCTTTGCTGAGTGTTTTTAACCACCTTTCCTCAGTGTTATGTGTGAAATAAATCAGAGATCTTTCACATTAAAAGAAAAAAAAAAAAAGCAATAAAAACATAGGTTTCCAATACATAGCTCACAGATCTAGTTCCGAGTCTCAGTTCTGCACTGTTTTTTCTCCTTTATTTGAGTCCGGACCCAAAGTACACAGTTAATTCTGCACCGTGTGGCAGGGAGGCTTTCAAACGCAAAAGAAGAAAAAACAATTATTCTTCTCTGCCTCATTGATGGGTGGCCCCTTGCAAACAGACGGTCGCCAGTCTTAGCCAGGCAGCACGCGGAGCGAACGCCGATCCCCGATAAACCAGATCCATTTCACCAGCCGCCCGCAGGTAAGTAGAGAATTCAGTGAAAATTCAACAGTTGGAGCCGCGCTCTGTCGCTCTGCCTCGCTCTCTCCCTCTCTCTCTCTCTCCCCCCCTCCTCGCCTCCCTCACTGCAGCACTCGCGGGGCCGCCGCGCCGCGCCGCGCTCGCCCAGCGCCGCTCTCCGACTGCCTCTATTCACCTCACGCCGCGGCTTAAACATTGATACGGATTCCCCGCCAGCCAATGGGCGGCGGCGGCGCCGGCCGGCCCCGGCGCGGCCGCCGCGTCCTCGCCCCTGCCTCCCCGCCCCCCTTATTTATTTATTTGTAAGACGTGTTAACAAGTCCTCCGCGCTGACGGGTGGGGAAGCGGGGGGGGACGCGGCGCTCCCGAACTCGCCCGAAGCACTGCGAGGGCGAGGACTTGACTGCGCGGCGCGGCCCCCGAGTGACCGCCGGGCCGGGGATGCGCGGCGAGAGAAGGGGCTGTGGGTGGGGGGACACCCCCGCCACCTCTGCCCGGCCCCGCGGGAGCTGCCCCGAGAGGGTCTCGCTCTCCCTGAGGGGCAGTTCCCGAGGGCGGGAGCCCATCGCCTGCCGGCGGGGAGCGGGGCGCCGGCAGCCGCGCCGTGAGGGGCCGGGGGCCGCAGCAGCGCCCGCCCCCGGCGCGCAAGGGAGGCTCCCGGCCGGGGGCGGCGGTGACGGGGGGAGGACTGAGGCTGGAAAGGTGCGTGCTCGGATTGCTGGAGGGCCGGTCTCGACCCGTGCGTACGGAAATGAAGCTACCATTTGTGACGAGCGTGTAAGTAGCAAGAATCATTTAGGGGAAAAGAGGAAAAAAAATTAAAAAAAATAAAACAACCAAAAAACAGGAAGAAAATAAACTCTGGAGCACTTATAAGACGCTCCTGAAATATTTTAGGAGTGTCTCTTAAGAGTCAATTAAGGCAGCTGCTCGTTTGCCTTGCTCAATAGAATAACCTTCAGCCCTGAGTTATTATGTCCATAAATATAATATGACTTGGAAAAAGTCTTGCAGATTTATAAATTCAAATGAGTGTTTTTTCCAGACCCGTCTTCTCGTCCTGAGGACCTCTTTGCAGCTGTGAAACAGATAGTTTGCCGTCCAGAGCGAGTCTGCTGGTAACCGTTATAGAGCTAATGCCGTGTTAAAATGCAGTGTATAAATAAACTGTGCATACATTAGTAGCAGCAGAAAACCACTACTCTCAGCCGAGCCAACTTTCTGTGTGAGAGCGACGGACAGATGAAATAAAGGATATGTTTACAAAATGGGCTTTGCTTTCTGCATGAGGGCTTCAGATTGGCTGAGGGAATTTGGCGTGCCCGGCTAAGTCACGTATTTGGAGAAGTTCCCTATGAAAGCAGCATAATATTAAAAGTGGAACAAACACCAGCGTAAGCCCCTGAGCTATCAGGAGGCCTCGGCTGACTGCAGCTTGAGTCCTCTGCTTTCCTCTCCTTCTTCTGCTGCTTATGCCAAACCTTTAGGATATCTCAGGATGTCCAGAGATTTTTCCACGCCAGTTCTGCTAATTGAGGGTGGGGGAAAAAGGGTCATTGCAATTATGTACTGGCTCCCTCTAGCGTGCCAGAGGTACTGCTGCATTTGGGGTATATCCCGTGTGCGTGCATCCTGTGGGGCGGGTGTGTATCTGTATACATACATACCGTGGGCTATGCGCTGTGCCTAAGTGTGCACGCATGTGGTAACACTAGTTTCCTTTCAGAGCATGAAAACACCAGCAGGAGTAAAAAAAAAAAATGTACTACGGTGGCATATACTATGTAATATATGTCTGACAGTGTTTCTCATGTTTACTTTAAAAAACAGTCTTGAAACACAGGATGATTTTTTTTTTTTTTGAGGAGGCTAGTGTCTTCATCACTTTTTTTTTTCCTCCACCCTGGTGAGTACTTTTTTTTTTTTTATATGACTCAGCATTACACAATAAATACTCTGACTCCACAATGAATTCAATACATTTGAGGGCACTCTGCAGTTTGTAAAACAAGTACTTGGGACTCTGAATTAAGGGAAAAACTATATAACCCTTTATACAAGTAACTGGACTCTTTGCTTGTAAAATCTGTATTTTTTATCAAACATCTTGCAGCTTACAACAATCCATTGATACCAACGACATGCATGGAATACTTAGAGGAAAAATAAAATCTGAAACACTAGCACTGGTTCTTCAAACCTCTGACTGAGTGCCAGGTGATAATGATAAATCAAACTCCTTGCTCTACAAGTCACTTTGGTTTTGTGGTGTTAAGTTCAGCAGAGCTGCATGTTAATACTCATTCTCAGGTATGGCTGATTATTCATTATTTCTAATGATTTCTTGGAAATCATGCCATCTTCACATCTTTACAAATTGTGGCTCTTAAACCCAATAAAGACTTAGATGCCTAACTGGTAAATTACACATTAAAAAATCGTGCCTGCATATGAATACATGCATCTGTCAGGCTGATGTTTGTTGCATCAGACAGTTTATAAGAACAAAATGGCATTTATTGATTTTAATCCACCTGTGCAAGTAATGAATATTTTATTAGTTTGATGATTTTACAGTATATCTATAATACTTTTTCGTCAATTTTTAGCACACATTACATATTTGATAGCTTAGACTGGCATCATAATTTCATATTAATTCATCAGAAATTGTTGTATTTTTCACAAAGAAGAGTTGGAAATTAAATGTATGATGGTAATGCAAATGAATGCAAGTAATACCTATATGTTTTGCCATGTCACTGTATTTGGAATATATAGTTTGTATTTGTTGCTGAAAAAGCAAACAAAAAAGAAAACAAAATAAAAAAGTCCTTATTATCAACTTGGAGAGAAAGCTGGTCTGTGGAGAGGCTAATACATAGAAAAATCACAAATCCTATCTAATAGAAATACACATATAGAAGACTTGTACTGTCTGCCAGATCAATAAAAGCACATTAAATACTCTGTGAAGGAGAAGCTCAACAGAGGAGCAAAGTCCAATATAACAGCCCTAACAATTAACTATGTATGGAGTTAAATTATGCTTTAGAATGCTACTTTTAAATACTCTGTTTGTTTATTGGAAGCTATAGTGTGATGTTAACCTAACTAACAAGTAGTAACAGAACACGTCTCCAAACATTTTTTTTAATTTATTGAAAACATGACAACAGTATTCAGTCTTTTTTTGGTGAAGTGTTCATGCTGAAATCCAATACTTTATTATTCTGTCTTTAGCAAAGACAGGTAAACTTTTCTTTTTCAAAAAATAAAAAAAGGAAATAAATAAGAAGTACCCTCAGTCAGAATTGTTGAAATGAAAATCTGTTGTCTTGGTGTGGAGGGTGCTTAAGCATAGCACAGAAGTCTCAGAACAAATAATCCCTAAACAACTAAAAGAAAATAGGAAGGCAAGGAAAAGATCAATATAGTTAAATGTCAAGGTTCAGTGTTTAAGTTATTTGAGCCTAAAATGTATCATTGAGAAAGCCTAAATCCAATCAGCTTGAGAACAATAGAAAGATGTAAAATTAGCAAGGCCAAGGAGCAAATTTGAGGAACAAGTAATCCATATATAAGACAATTACCTGCTAATAAACAAACATGCTTTACCTGTGTGAGGAAGCCATGACAAAACTGTCCAGCCTATTATTTAGCCATAGCTATAAACCAAAAAGTACTACAGAGAAATTATATTTTTGTACTTTAATACTCATAGAAAATGAAGACATTTCCTCAGGTCAGCTTCTTTTTAGTAACAAAGATGAGATGTGGGTGTGTTTGAGGTGTCAGTGGTGATATTCTTAAAGAGTAGAAAGCATCTAACTAAATTGTAGTCATCAAGCATTCTTACAGAATCTAAAAATGAGGTAAATGAACTGTTAAAAATATGCAGTCATTAAGATCATACTATGTTTGAGGATTAAAATGTACAAAATCTGTTTCTCTTTTAAAAAGACTAAAAGGATGATCAACAAATTGTGGTGATGAACAAATTGTGGTATGGCAAGATTTTTTTTTTTTTTTGGTAGCAGTAGTATTAAATGTATTAAAATAACAATTAAAAATAGAAATTACATGGCATCTAGAGAAATGTAAGAGAAGTACTGTCCAGAAACTCAAATCAATAGAAACCGTTCCACTGATTTGATCCATCCCATAGTAGCAAAGTAGTACAACTTGCATAGACTAAAATGACATTCTTTCTGTTTGTTAGTATTGTTTCAAAGTTGTAACAGAACAACAAATAAAACCCCTTTTGTTGCTCTGTATGTAAGCAGATTTATGTCAATTTAATTGTGAGGTCACACCTCACAAGCAAGACAGGTTGATGAGAGAATTGCTGAGAAAGGGAATACAAAATAACAGGGCAGTAGGTAAAGGAAAGAGAGGGTGTCTTAGTGGGCTGATGGGAGGATAGGACCCAAGAAGAAAGAGGAGTAGGAAAAGGCTGCTGAAGCTGAGCCCAGGACTATTTAAAAGGCTTCAGGCAAACGGAATTAGTGAATAGGAACTAAGTGTGAAATTCTCACTGGAAGACTTGATACCTATGGTTTCTATGTAGCTGGGAATATTATAGTTACAGTTGTACCTGTGTAATTTTGGAAACAGAAAAAAACATGCACCCACAAGTGTTTATTTGGCTTACAGAAAGGGTGAGTTTTATGCCAGATGTGAGGTCTTAGGATGTGTATTCTTATGCCTTTTTTCAGCCACATTATTTAATTATTATTTAGTACAATATACAGAAACATTTTTTGCTTTTTTATTACAGTGAAAACAGGGCACACTGAGATAAAACCCAGCGTGTTTCAAACAGACTAAGAAGTTTTCTTAATGAGTTTTTTTAAAACAATTTCTTTAAGAGCAATTGAAATACTGAAAACTGGTTTCCTACAGGTGTGGCTTTTAATTTTCTCTCTGTCACTGCTACCAGATTCCTCCTGTGTCTGATGGTTGCCCTGCAGCTATGAGTGGCTGGCTGAGAGGGACATGCTGCTGGGCTAGGCAACAGCTGCCTGGAAAGGTACAACAGCTACCTTTACTTCTCTCTGGGTATCAATTTGTATTGCATACATACCCATGCACTGAAATGAAATTTAAACTAAAACCACCTTTAAACCATTTGCAAATTTGATTGAAATTGTCCAGTAGCTCACAGAGTTGCTGGGCAGAATGATGAAGAGACAGAGACACTCAGATAATGGTCAAGGGGGCTGGTGTTTTTACTTGCATAGCCTCCTTTAAAAACAAAAACATTTTAAAATAAAACGCTTTAGCCATTTGATTATAACATGATGCCAGTGCTGGACTTAGGATATGGCATAGTGATAGGATCGTATGACTTGGCATGTTAACATAATGCACACACTGCCAGTACCAGTGAGATAGGAATACACTGTAAATACAGACACTAGATCCTGTGAAAAAGAAAAGGAAATATCTGTGTTTTCAAATGACGGATATTCTCTGAAGCATTTTACAACTTTTCTGAAGCAAATATTGTATGGATTTTTCTCAAACCTGACAATTTTTGTTTGCACAGTAAATTACATCAAACCATATAGAGATGAACAATATGATTTACTTCACTGAATAATGAAGTACTTCACTGATGAAAATCTGTTTTGTGAATTCTTTATGACAAGTTTGTTAGGGTTTAGAACACATAGACCTGTCATTAATATAATGATTTAAATATTTGTTTAAACATTTATAAACATAATTTTATTAAATACTTGGTTTAGTAGATGGAATTAATTTGATTGCAGTTATTGCTAATGGTTAATGTCTCCTATGTCTTTTAAAGATTATGTGGCAGGCCGGGACAATTTTTTTTTGTCCTGTTCCCCTTTGGCTTAGGCTGCACTCTGGAAATATTGTGTCTTCCTTGGGAATGGTCAAATAAAGAAATTTCTGGTAATGTGGGATAAAAAAGGAGAAGGAGGAAGGGGGAAAGAAAACAAAATCAAGAGTGAGCAGGAACTCCAATAAATGCTGAGAAAAGCAGGGAACAGAACTGCTATATACTGCTATATAACTGCTATATACGTCTGAGAAGGGAAGGAAAGAGAATCTTTTCTTGGGTTTGGGGAGTGGACTGTGCATAATCTGCAAACCTGCAGAGCTGCCAGAGTGGGATCATGCATGGACAAGAAGACCTGGCATCTTACATCAGCATGAGCCAGTGGGTGTTCATCTGCTCCTTTTCTATTCTAACTTTGGATGTTTTATCAAGCTTTGCTTTGGGTAGAATCTCATCTTTGAGATTTAAAATTTTCTTGGGAGTGCTGATAGTGCTAGCTTTAAGGAAAAGGTAGAAGCAGACCAAACTCAAAGATCTGGCTAAATGATTCATATTTTCCAGACAGAAGTACTGATAGAGGACAACGTAGGAGAAGCCAAAATTATAGAATCACATAATGATTTGGGCTGGAAGGGACCTTAAAATTATCTAGTTCCAACACCCCTGCCATAGGCACAGACACCTTTCACTAGATCAGGTTTCTCAAAATCCCATCCATCCAGGCCTTGACTGCTTTAGTGAATGGGGGTCAGCAAGTTCTCTGGGCCACCTGTACCCAATACCTCTTAACTCTTACAGTAAAGATTTTTTTCCTAATACCTAACCCGAACATACCCTCTTTCATTTTAATGCCATTCCCCCTTGTTCTGTCACTATAGGCCTTTGTAGTCA